ATTACGTAACCGATGAAGATCGACAACGCACTGCGGCTTCGTGTCACGTCCTATGGTCGCTGTCCAGATCGTAGCGCCCACTAAAAAGTCGTAGCAGGCTAGATTAAGAATCGTGAAGTTTGCTGCTGTTCGCAGTCGGCGGGTCTTTGCTATAATGATGATCACAAAACCATTGCCAAACGTTGTGAGTAGTGAACATATCACAAAAATCGTCAAGATGAGTGCTTTGGTGTATGTTGTCGTATTAGTAAAATACACGTTACCAACGATGTCCCGTTGACCAGCTGTCCCGTTATCCTCGTCTGCTAACAGCGTTTCATTCATTGTTGATATCGAAAGTCTCGGAATCTTCCTCGTTTCCACTATATTTACTAGCTGTAAATTCCTGCTCGTTTAAACCATATGTGTCGTCATATTCCTGCGCTTGACTGAGCGTGCTATTGACTGTCTAATTGAATTCATATCTGACGACATATATATACTTCTACTAGTTGTACTAGTTGAGCGCATGCGTCAGGTCGTTACTTCATAACGTCATATCCTTGCCTGGAGCTTTGCCATTCTCATAAACTAAGAATAACAACACATGGCAAGCATAATATCATCCGCACCTAAGTCTGGTGTTAGGTGCGTTCTCCTAATGAAACTGTAATTGTTAGTAATCTAAGTGGTACAGCTATGACTTATCATCTTACAACGACACACAGAGAATGCAACCAAATCGTCATTACGCTCCACGCTCGTGGCTTCCCTCGCTTCCTCCTCCTCCTCTTCTTCCCGGTCATCCTCTCATGCAGACCTCCCGCGCACACGCAGAATGCCATCGCTGCCGTAACCCGCCGCACCTCCAGCCGACTGGTCGAGCTCTGGCCGACGCTGCCGCCGCCGAGAAGGTGGGTGTGCCGCGTCGTGCACCATTGCCTCCCGGTATGCACGTAACGCAACGCTCGGCTACCCTCACTAACACTCACCCGCCCGCGTGAGCACGGCCACCACGCTCGAACCAACACACCGCAGAATTCCGGAACGACGCCGAATTAAATCGAACCCGAATACCGCGTCCTCTCGATCGGGGCGGTCGTGTACTAGCTTCCTCGAGCCGCGGGGGACAATAGCCAGGGGTCAAGCGTCAGCAAACCTGACCGCTGGTCAGGCAGGGTAATGACAGTGATCAATGAACCTGGCAATTTTCTGTGCACAGCACTTGGTGGTTGGGGGGGGTCTATTTGGGAGCAGAGCTGCGTAACAGCGCAGGCAAACGTTACCGACCGGTGGTATCAGTTGCTAAAGTTTTGCCGCGTAAGCTTGAACTCTCACGCTCCCAGAAAACTTCCTCCTCTAGTAGAGTCTACATACAGAGTTGAACTACTGGCAATAAGAAACGAGTCGCACGAAAAAAAGAGGAACAAAA